GTAAGAAACTGGCTCCTGGCTTCAGCATGGCTCAGCCCTGGTCGTTGAGGCCATTTGTGGAGTGAACCAGCAGAGGGAAGATCTCTTTCTCTCCCTCTCTCTCAAACCCTGCCTTTCAAATAAATAATTTTTTTTAAAGGGGGGAGGGTTGGTGTTAAGGCCTGGTAGGTAAAACCCAATGCCAGTGTCCCATGTAGGCATGAGTTCAAGTCCCAGCTCCCCCACTTCTGATCCAGCTCCCTGCTAATGCACCTGGAAGAGCAGTGGAAGATGGCACGAGTGCTTGGGCCCCTGCACCCACGTAGAAGACTTGGGGGTGGCTCCTGGCTCCTGGATTCAGCCTGGCCCAGCTCCAGCTGTTATGGCTATCTGGGCAGTGAACCAATGGATAGAAGATCTCTCTGCTTCTTCCTCTCTCTAACTCTGACTTTAAAATAAATAAGTAAATCATTTTTTTACAAATCCATTTTTATTTCTTTACTTTTCAATAGTTTAAATCCTTGAGGGGTACAGCATCACACAGATTCTGTGTCCAGTGGCCTTCACAGGAAGGCTGCTTCAGAATTTAGCACGAACCATGCCCCTATTTCTGTGAGCACGAGTTACCTTTCCCCAGATTACTGTGATTGTGTTAGGTTTGCTGCCAGGAGTCTCTGTGTTGTTCTTTGCTTTGTACACGTAAGCACACCTCTTGTCCAAGTAGAATTCAATTTCATCCTGAGCATAAACACCTTAAATTTTAAGAGGCGCCATATGCTCCATTTGGTTCTGGATACCTCACGTATAGCCAGCAAAAAATGGCCCTGTACCACAGTCTTCCAGACATAGCTGCCTTCTAGAAGTCCTGTTCCTAGCAGGCCTCCACAGGCTCCAAGATGGTGGAAAGAGCTAATAAATCTTAAAGGAAGGAAGGAAGGAAGGAAGGAAGGAAGGAAGGAAGGAAGGAAGGAAGGAAGGAAGGAAGGAAGAAATAATAATTAAAGAAAAAGTGTATTCTTGTTGTGGCATAGTGGGTAAAGCCACTGCTTGCAACCTTGGCATCCCACGCCTGTTCATGTGCCAGCTGCTCCACTTGCAATCTAGCTCCCTGCTAAAACAGCCTAAAACACTTTTAAGGTGGTCCAAGTGTTTGGGCCCCTGCCATCTACATGGGAGACCTGGATGGAGTTTCAGGCTCCCAATCGAAGCCCAGCCATTATAGCCATCTGGGGAGCAAACCAACAGATGGAAGATCTATCTCTGTGTCTCTCCTTCTCTCTGTAGCTCTGCCTTCAAATAAATAAACCTTTAAAAAAAAAAAGAAAAGAAAGTGATCCATATTATCTAGCCATCCCGCCATATAGACATACTTCAAAACAGAATATAGTACCCAATATATACACATGATTTTTATTTTTCAATAGTTAAAGGTAAGAAAAACATATTGTCTGGGGCTGGCACTGTGGCTCAGTGGGTTAACGCCCTGGCCTGAAGCGCCAGCATCCCATATGGGTGCTGGTTTGAGACCCGGATGCTCCACTTCCAATCCAGCTCTCTGCTGTGGCCTGGGAAAGCAGTAGAAGATGGCCCAAATCCTTGGGCCCCTGCACCCACTTGGGAGACCCGGAAGAAGCTCCTGGCTCTTGGCTTCAGATTGGCACAGCTCCAGCCGTTGCAGCCAATTGGGGAGTGAACCATCGGATGGAAGACCTCTCTCTCTCTCTCCCTCTCTCTCTCTCTCTCTCTGCCTCTCCTCTCTCTGTGTAACTCTGACTTTCAAATAAATAGATAAATAAATAAATCTTTTTCAAAAAAAGAAAAACATAGGGGCCGGTGCTGTGGCGTAGCTGGTTAATGCCCTGGCCTGAAGTGCCGGCATTCCATATGGGCGCCGGTTCTAGTCCAGGCTGCTCCACTTCTGATCCAACTTTCTGCTATGGCCTGGGAAAGCAGTAGAGGATGGCCTAAGTCCTTGGGCCCCTGCACTCATGTGAGAGACCTGGAAGAAGCTCTTTGGCTCCTGGCTTCGGCTCGGCGCAGCTCCGGCCGTTGCGGCCAACTGGGGAGTGAACCATCGGATGGAAGATCTCTGTCTGTCTGTCTGTCTCTCTCTCTCTCTCTCTCTCTGCCTCTCCTCTCTCTGTGTAACTCTGACTTTCAAATAAATAAATAAATCCTAGAAAAACATATTGTCTATATTAGTAGTTTTAAAATAAGGGTTCTGGGGCTGGACCACCCAAGTTGAACATTCTGCCACTTTAATAGCTTGTGATGAACTCTCTGGGCTTCAGTTTTCCCACCTGATGAGATGAGAGTAGTAGCCATCTCTTGGGGCTATTTGATCATTGGATCATTGGATGACATAACTCATGTTTGTCTTTGTACCGTGGCATAGTAGGTGCTCCATGGATGTTAACCAAGAACAGCAAACGCACAGTTCCCCATACTTTCCCTAGTCCCTCTGGCCCTCTTGCCTTTTGGCAAGCTGATCCCGCCACCTGAAACACCTTCTCCTCCACTCCTCACTCCCGTTTAGGACTCATCTTTTTTTTTCTTTTTTTTTTTCTTTTTTTTTTTTTTTTTGACAGGCAGAGTGGACAGTGAGAGAGAGACAGAGAGAAAGGTCTTCCTTTGCCGTTGGTTCACCCTCCAATGGCCGCCGCGGCCGGCGCGCTGCGGCCGGCGCACCGCACCGATCCGATGGCAGGAGCCAGGAGCCAGGTGCTTTTCCTGGTCTCCCATGGGGTGCAGGGCCCAAGCACCTGGGCCATCCTCCACTGCACTCCCGGGCCACAGCAGAGGGCTGGCCTGGAAGAGGGGCAACCGGGACAGAATCCGGCGCCCCGACCGGAACTAGAACCCGGTGTGCCGGCGCCGCTAGGCGGAGGATTAGCCTAGTGAGCCGCGGCGCCGGCTAGGACTCATCTTGAAAACCTGCCCTCAGCAGGTTGGGTGGCTCTCCCGGAAGCTCCATTACCCCTTTGCAAAGCAGCACTCAGCTTAACGTAGGCGACTGTATTTTCCCTTTCCTGACAGTGTGAGCCTCACAAAGGGGGGGGGGGGGGCTGCATATCTGCAGCTCTGCATCCTCTGCTCCCATCCCCTGCACCTAGCACAGGGCAGGCCCCCGCCCCCGCTGTCCCTCAGCCCTGCTCAGATCTCCACTTCCTGGAACCTGTTCCTCTCCCTCCCTCTGCTGCCATCCTGCAGCCTCACCACCACCGGGGCCTCGGAGTCCCTCCTTCCTGCCCTGACCCAAGTGCGGGACAGCCTGTACTGGCCGTCCCATCCTGCAGGCTGCTCCACTTATCTTGTGTCGCTGCTGAGCAGCCTCTCCCTGGGTTGCCTCAGCTTAGGCAACCTTCCCAACAGCACCTGGGGGCTTGTTCCACCTCTGCTTTCCTGTGCGTCTGGCCTCTGATAGGCATAGCAGCTTTCCGGGGAACTGACTTACATCCAAGCTCTCCCCATGAGCAACTAAGACAGGATCTCTTTTTCCATTTCCCTGTGTTCCAGGCTCCCTAATTACTGCTCTGCCCCCTCATGTTTGGCCTGAGGGCTCATGGTTCATTTTTTTTAAGACTTATTTTATTTATTTGAATGGAAGAGAGAGAGAGAGACACCTCAGGGTCACTCCCTAAATGGACACAATGGCCAGGACTAGAAACAAGCCGAAGCCAGGGACCCAGAACCGCAGCCAGGTCTACCACATAGGTGCAGGAGCCCAAGCACTCAGGCCATCTTCCTCTGCTTTCCCAGGCACGTTAGCAAGGAGCAGATTGGGAGTGGAGCAGCTGGGACTTGAACCCTGCACTCACATGAGATGCAGGCATTGTAAGCAGCAACTTAACCTGCTATGCCACAGCGTGGGCCCCTCATGGTTCATTTGCAGAAGGAGCAGAGCACAAGGCACTAACAAGGAGATGGCCACTGCCTGGACCTCCAGGGTCAGGGCTGATTCTGCCTGGGTGCCTGGATCCCTTGAAGGGGCCACCAGCCCTTCCACAGTCTCTCCCCAGCCTCTAAGAGGGAGCTTCATTAAGAATGAGGCTGAGGCTGGCGCCGCGGCTTAGTAGGCTAATCCTCCACCTTGCGGTGCCGGCACACCAGGTTCTAGTCCCGGTCGGGGCACCGGATTCTGTCCCAGTTGCCCCTCTTCCAGGCCAGCTCTCTGCTGTGGCCAGGTAGTGCAGTGGAGGATGGCCCAAGTGCTTGGGCCCTGCACCCCATGGGAGACCAGGAGAAGCACCTGGCTCCTGCCATCGGATAGTCGTGGTGCGCCGGCCGCGGCGGCCATTGGAGGGTGAACCAACGGCAAAGGAAGACCTTTCTCAGGAAGACCTTTCTCTCTGTCTCCACTCTGCCTGTCAAAAAAAAAAAAAAAAAAAAAAAAAGAATGAGGCTGAGAGTGGAAAGGAAAAAGAAGAGGGGGTGGACAGGATCCCAGCTCAGAAGGGGTGGAAAGAGCAGGGCTGAGTGCTGGCTGTGGCAGCCTGCATGCTCCCTGGATGGTCCCTGTGCGGCTCCCTCATGGACCTCCCTGGGAAAGGCCAAGCTGTCTCCAGTTCCTAAGTGCTTCCCACCAGGGACAGGGATGCAATTGAGGGCTCAGGTGTTCAAGGAGGCAGGGATCTCCCCAGGGCGGTCTGATGACAGGGACTACCATCAGGAGGATGGAGTGAATGGGGAAGGCTGAGAACCCTGGATCGCCCCTTTGATGACACCCTCGCCCCCAGCTCTCCTGAAACTGGCAACAAACTGTGTGTGGGTGAGGCCCAAACCTCACTTCCCCAGGGCTCCCAGACTTCCCCTCAGGGGTCCCAGGAGAGGTTTTGTAGCCTTCCCTGGTCTTTCGCAGCACAGCACTGCCAAGCACTCATGGAAATTCTGCCAGCCACAGGGCAGAGGTCATTTCTCCTGAGGTGCAGCAGCGACCTGGGGGCGCGAGGGGGCGTTCTGCAGACACAGACAGCTCCACAGGCTGAAGTACCTGTGTGCCGAGGTTGTGGCCCCGCATACCCTCCCCAGCCACAGCAAAAGCGGGAGGCTGGCACTGCCACGAGGGCTGGGCTGGCGGCCTCAGAGCGGAGACAAGTCGCTGCAGTGCCCGGGAGCCCCGCTTGGGGGCTTGGAGCGAGCGGGGGTTGAAGCTGGCTCGGGAGCTAAAGGAGCCTGCGGGATGGGGGAGTTTGCTGCAGGAATAAAGGAGCACTTGGCTGGTTTCTTGCGCGAGTTCTGCGCTGGGGCTGGCTGCAGCGCACTGCAGTGATGGAAGCCTCCTCAGGGCGGGGCTGGGGCTGGCTGCGTGCGGTACAGCCGGGCAGCCGGGGCGCGGGGCCAAGGGCGTGCAGGATGTGCGCCTCCGCTGCACTTGCAGGACGCCTGGCTAGCTGAAGGATGGAAAAGGTGGGACCTCGGAGGCCTCGGACCCGCACTGACCAGAGGCTGCGTGGCGGCGGGGAAGGACGCGGTCCCTGCACTGCGGAGCGGTGACTAGCTCCCGCGGCCCGGGCTGGCGCGGAGGCGGAACCGCGCCCGAAGGAGGGGGAGCGTCGCCCTCCGCAGCGGCAGGCGGGGCCGAGGCGGGCCGGCAGGGCGGCCTCTCGGCGCGGGGGCGGGACCACCGCCCGCTGGGTCCGCGCCCTAGCCCGGACTCACAGCTGGGGCTGCAGGAGTCCGCAGCCGGCCCCCCGCAGGTGCTGGGACCGAGTGCCGCCTGGGGCGCGGGGACCGCACCATCGAACTCCGCGGAGGACGTGACGGTGAGGCGGGGGCTGCCCGAAGGGAGCGAGGGGGATCCCAAGACCCAGCCCGCGTGGAGACGGCGGCGCCTGCAGCAGCCCTCCCTCCCAAATGGGCTGTGCCAGGGTGGGGAGAGGTGCCCCGCATGGACTCCCCCTGTCCCGACACCGCTCCCACTCTCCCTCCAGAAGACCCTCCTCTGGCTCGCTCCCCCCACCACCACCCTGGCCTGCAGCCCTTTCAGCGCCCGGGTCCGACGAGGCACCCAGAGAGGAAGATCGCGGCCCTTCAGGTTGCGTCCCACCCCGCTCCCACTGTCCGCCACGGGCGAGAGGCGCCTGGGAGGACCTGGCCCTCGAAACCTCTGCCCCCCGCGCGCGGAGCATCGGCCAGCGCTCCACCCCACCCCACCCCCGCGCCGCTTTCGACAGCTGGCAGCCGCCGGGGCCCCAGGGGACCGGCAGGTACTGGGGTGGCGGCGAGGCCCGGGAGCGGGTGATGGAACAGCTGCGGCCGCTCCCCCCAGCCCCCAAGCCCCGGAGGAGCGGGCGGCGGGACTGCCGGGCGCCCGGGGCGCCGGTTAATCATTAACCCTCGGCTCCCCGGGTCTCCGCGCTGCCGGCAGCCGCGTCCGCCCCAGCTTCCCAGGTAACGGGCAAGGATGCCCATCCGCGGTCCCCGGGCTCCCCTCCGCTTATTGCCCCCGCCACCTGTCGGCCTGGCGGAGCCCCGGGCTCAGTCTTGCGCCCCCTGCAGGCGCACGTCCCGGCGCGGGAGTTAGATTCGCGGCCGGCCCTCCCCAGCTCGTCAAGCACCCGCTCCCGCAACGCCGGCCTCCTGGCATCATGCCCGGCCTGTACTGCCCCTCCAGCTGGACGCCGCTGCCCCTCACCGACTCCTGCGTCCGGGCCTGCGCCAACGGCCCCTGCCTCAGCCTACGGGCTCGGCTCACCTACCACAACCCGCAGCCGCAGCCGGTGGACGGTGAGGCCGGGGCGCAGGCGCCGGGAGTGGGGAGCTTGTGTGCCCCGCGCGCTCCGACGCTGCTTCCCGCCCGCCGCTCCCCGCAGGCGTGTTCGTGTACCCGCTGGCCGAGGCCGAGGTGGTGTCGGGCTTCGAGGCCGAGGCGGCAGGACGGCGCGTCTCCTTCCAGCTGCAGAGCAGGCGCCGCTCGCAGCCCGCCTGCTGCCGCGCGCTGGGCCCCGGGCTGGGCGCCTTCACGCCCCGCCGCTGCGCGCAGGGTGAGTCCCGCGCGCCCGCACCGCGCGCCTGCAGGCCAGCCGAAGCTCAGGTCCCTGCACTCGCTCTCCCCGCATGGATCTTGTCATTCATTGATTCATCTTTTCATTCAACAGTCTGGGCATCCGACCGACCTAGGTGCTGGGGAAATGTGACCTAGGTGTGGCCTGAGGTCGCAGGCAGGGAGAGAGACAGAGCAGGCAGCACAGGTGCCTATACTGCCCAGATGACCATAATCCCTCCCGCGTGCTGCCAAGGGAGCACCTCCGCGGCTGCCCCCGCCCCCCCCCCCTTTCCGGATACAGACCTCCTCTCGAATCCCCGTGTGGACCCCGGCTCCTGAATCAAGTACAGGCTCCTCTGTCTAGCAGACAAGGCCCTCCCTCCTATTCCAGCCCTTGAGCCCCTTCCCGCACCTGGTACCGAACTGGCCACACTGACAGGTCCTTTTGCACCTCCCTTCCCTGTCTTCCCATCTCTGAGAAGATAATCGGTACCTGTCCTTTAAGAGCCATTCAAATGTCATTCGTTGGGAACCCCTGCCTGATCCCTCCCCAACACATAATGGCTAATTGCACTGCTGCAGTGCGCTCCAGCCTTTTGTGCTACCTTCTTGCAGCCTCACTAGGGGGTCTGCATGTCTGGGTCCCCCGCTGGAGCTTGGCAGCATCTCCTAGGGAACCTAGCAGGCAGGGACCCCCTGAGAGCTGGGGGAGGGGATGGAAACCCAGCCCCTCGCCAGGTTCTGTGGCTTGCACTTCATCCTTTTATTTATTCATCCATACATTCTTTTGATTCCTGCCCATGGGATTTACCATCTAAGTAAGAAGGACAGAATCAGAGAGTTGGCATAAAGCCAGCAGGTGGTTCAGAGCCATAGTGAGTTCTGGGCCAAGGGCCAGGAATATTCCAGAAGGAGACAGAGGCAGCATTTGACTGAAAGGAAGGCTAGGGCTTGGTGAAATGGAGAGTAGAGGCAGTGGTATAAACCAAGGTTTGTAAGTAGATTATATTGGGTAACACAATACTTCCTGTGTGTAGTGATTTATAATCTACAACGCCCTGTCACTGGTGTCCCTCGTTGAATCCAGAGAAGTCAGTAATGCAAGTGTTACTCTCTTTCCCTCTTTCATAGGTGAGGAAAATAATAGCAACATGTTTAGATGCTGGGAGCCTTGTATACATTATTTCATTTATTCTGTGCCACAATGTTTGAGGTATGGTTCTTATGATCCCCACTCTATGGATAAGGAAGCAAGAGTTACCAAAGGACATCCTTAGAAGTCACAGAGTTGGGACAGAAACACCTGACACTGTGCTGTCGCCGTGGATCCTGCCACCCCCAAGCCTGGGCAGGCTGGGAGGAAAGCCCCTTTCTCCCTCCTTTCCTTCCTCCCTTCTTTTTCTTCCCTTCATTTATACAGCAAGGATCTCTCAAAATGAGTCTTGTAGAGGAGTGAGGTACAGTAAGAGCTGTGAAGGCAGGCTGGTGCAGGGCCATGTGCATGGGTCCACACCTGGGCATCATCCCTGTAACAGTAGCAGGGACTGCTGCGGCTCCCCCAGCCTCCTTCCCAGTACACTTGTGTCTAAAGGAAGCGGTTGCTTGGTATACAGCTGCAGCGCTGTGTACCCCAGCCTGCCTCCATGTTCACTGCTGCCACTAAGCTCCTCCTGGAGCCACCCTTGGTGGGCGCCCTCGATGAATCATGAGCAGGGACCTATGTCACGGGGAGCTGTGCAGCCCCAAGGCAGAGTCCTTTTTTTTTTTTTTTTAATATTTATTTGAAAGAGTTACACAGAGAGAGAAGGAGAGAGAGAGAGAGAGAGATATCTTCCATCCGCTGGTTCACTCCCCAATTGGCTACAACAGCTGGAGCTGTGCTGATCCAAAGCCAGGAGCAGGACCTTCTTCTGGGTCTCCCACACAGGTGCAGGGAGCCAAGGACTTGGGCCATCTTCTACTGTTTCCCAGGCCACAGCAGAGAGCTGGATCAGAAGTGGAGCATCTGGGTCTCAAACTGGCGCCCACAGGGCATGCCAGCACTGCAGGCGACGGCTTTACCCATTATGCTACAGCACCAGCTCCAAGGCAGAGTTCTTTAGGAAAAAATGGTGTCCAAGGTTGACTGGGAAGGGGCAGGCAGCGGCAGAGGGACACAGAAGTCCTTGGGAATGGAGTGGCCCCCCTGTCCCTCAGCCATCCACTAGCAGGGGCAGCCGGGTCCTTCCACCAACCGCCTTTCCTACCATCACTCACCTCATGTCCCATCAGCTTAGCGCCCGCCGGCCTCGCCCAGCCTCCCAGAGTCAGTGCCAGTCTGCATCTCCCACCTCCCCTGTCTCCTCTGCTTCCAGCTTCCTCTGACCCCGTTTCTCACTCATCATAGGTCATCTTGTCCTGGATCTGGCCCAGGCCCGCTCTACACTGGTGCTGCCCACGGGCCTTATAGCTGCAGCTGGCACCATGACAGTGACCCTGTGCAGCAGCCGGGAGCTGCCCTCAAGGCCTGACGGGGTGCTGCACGTGGCCCTGCCCACCGTGCTCACCCCGCTGGTCCCGCCGGGCCTGCCAGGGCCCCCCAGGCCTCCGGGGCTCTGTGACGACAGGTTGGGCCTATGGTGATTCTCTTCGTCCCTTCCTCGGCTTCTCTGGGTCTAGTGCGGGTGAGGGGGCTTCGGCAGGGTGAGCAAGGGCTGGGGCCGGTCAGCCAGAGGGTCCAGGGGCCTGGATGGTGGTCCAGTGACCCTCCTCGTGCTGCCTTCCAGCCCCACCAGCTGCTTCGGGGTGGGCAGCCCCCAGGAGGAAGGGCTGGCCTGGGAGGAGCCGGCTGCCCCTCGAGATGTGTTCTCGGGCCCTGCCCGCTGCCCTGCTCCCTACACCTTCTCCTTCGAGATGCTGGTGACGGGGCCGTGCCTGCTTGCAGGTGGGTGCCTCTGGCCTCACCTGCTTCACGTGCCCCCCTCTCCCAGGACAGCTGACTGGGAAAGAGTTTGAGGCTCAGGGAGGGGAGGGGCCTGGGACAAGAAGAAGACAAGGACCTAAGCCTTAGGAACCCCCAGCCCAACAGTAGGAAGATCCCCTGGCCACTTTATCAGGGGAATTTGTTTGTTTCCCACCCTGCCTGCCAGGGGGATGAGAGTTATTTACAGTGGGACCCGGCCACATGGTGCCCTGGACTTCCCTTGGATAAGAGGCGGGGACAGGGTGCTGGGTCTGCAACTGGTTAGCTTCTACCTCTTTGACCAGCCGGACACAGATCTGGGGACTGACTTCCACAAAAGCAGGGAGGTCTCGCCCCATGCCTCTGAGCCCGTGGATCAGACTGAGAGCTGAGCGCAGTCAGCCGGGACCCCCACCCACAGCCGGTGTCATGTGAGAGGGTGGGGTTTGTGCTCTTAGTCCTGGCATGGGGTAGGGGGACCGTCACCTCTCCCTGTCTCTGTGCCCCCCAGGCCTGGAGAGCCCCTCTCATGCCCTGCGGGCAGACGCCCCCCCTCACGCCAGCTCTGCAGCCACCATCTGTGTCACCCTGGCAGAGGGCCACAGCTGTGACCGGGCCTTGGAGATCCTGCTGCATCCCAGTGGTGAGAGACTGCCCAGGCCAATTCCGATCCACTTCAGGACAGCGGGCAGCAGTTGTCGAGTATCGATTTTGGGACCCACAGCCAGAGGCAGTGAGGGATGTGTGGGAGGGCGCCCCGGGGTGCAAGGGTCCTCCCAGGACGGTGGGACTGGGCAAGCGGTGCCCTGAGAGTGGTGTCCCTTCCTGTCAGAGCCCCACCAGCCCCACCTGATGCTGGAGTCCGGCAGCCTGAGCGCAGCGGAATACGAGGCCCAGGTGAGGGCCCGCCGGGATTTCCAGAGGCTGCAGCGGAGGGACAGCGATGGGGACCGGCAGGTACGGCTGCCTGGGGTCCAGGCCCAGCGCCTGGCTTCATTATTGACTGCATTTGTGCATAAGGGGCTGGCGAGCATGGGTAGGGACCTGCTTTCTCTCTCCATAGCTGCCACCCCACATCCCAGAGGACAGAGGAGGTTTGGCACAGGAGGGCCCCGTGTGTGTCTCTCTGGCCGTGTCTCAGAGGATGGAGGCAGCCACCTGTCCCTGCCCTTCTGCAAATGACCCCCAGATGGAGAAAGCCTGCGAGGCCGGGTCCTGCTGCTCCCTTCCCCCAGGGGACAGAGGTGCCTTAACCGTGGCCCTGGTTGATGCGGGGGCTCCCGTGCGCAGGTGTGGTTCCTGCAGCGACGCTTCCACAAGGACATCCTGCTAAACCCGGTGCTGGTGCTGAGCTTCTGCCCGGACCTGAGCGCCAAGCCTGGCCACCTGGGCACAGCGACTCGGGAGCTCCTCTTCCTGCTGGATGGCAGCAGCGCGGCGCACAAGGCCTGTGGGGGCACAGTGTGGGCAGGCCGGGGGCAGAGGGGGCTGGGGCGGCGCGGCCAAGCCAGGGGTCTCCATGTGGCAGCTCCTCAGGCAGGCCCCAACCTGACATACATACTTTCTCACTGACTCGCCCCCTTGTGCTCACACACACATACCTCTCCCAGGTCCCATAGGCCTTTCCCACACAGAGTGACCCTCGGTCACCCCGATCACAGAGACCCCAAGCATCTCCTGTACCTCCAGAGGCCCCGGAACAAACGTCCACATACAGTTCCTCGCACTCCCAGGAGCACGTGGTGCAGGCTACTCCCCCCCCACATGCAGCCCCCCACATCTTGTCCAGCCCCTCATTGTAATCGCAGCCTGGAGAAGGCAAGCAATCCCCTGCTGTCTGCCAGTGTCCGCGGGGCCTGCCTCACTAGCTGCCTCCCTGGCTCTCCCCAGGACGCCATTGTTTTGGCTGTGAAGTCCCTCCCACCCCAGACGCTGGTCAACTTGGCCGTGTTCGGGACCTCAGTGCAGCCGCTCTTCTCAGAGAGCCGGCCTTGCAGTGATGTGAGTGTGGCCCATGGACCTGGGGCTTCGTGGGGCTGCCCCAGCCCAGTGTGGCCCAGCCACGCCTTCTCTCCGCAGGATACCATGCAGCTGCTCTGTGACAGCATCGAGACCCTGCAGGCTGCGAGTGGCCCCCCAGATGTGCTGGCTGCACTGCACTGGGCCATGGGGCAGCCCCAGCACAGGGCCCACCCTCGGCAGCTGTTCCTGCTCACCGCGGCCTCGCCCATGGCCACCACTGCCCACCAAACCCTGGAGCTCATGAGGTGGCACAGGGGGACAGCCAGGTATGGAGTGGGCAGAGCCAGGTGCCTGAGACTTCCCCTGCCAGCAAGGGGCTCCTGACGGTCATACCTGCCTCCCTTTTCCCGCCAGGTGCTTCTCCTTTGGCCTGGGGCCAGCCTGTCACCAGCTGCTCCGGGGTCTGTCTGCCCTCAGCAGGGGCCAGGCCTACTTCCCGAAGCCTGGGGAGAGGCTGCAGCCCATGGTGAGTTTGGGCCTGGACCCTGTGCCCTACTCCTGGAAGTACACATCGAGGCGGAAACCCTGGTTATGGAGTCTCCAGGCCCCCTCCCCAGAATTCCTTCCCACTCCAAACCCTCCCCTCCCTGAGATGCCAGTCAGGGGAAGGGCCACCGGTGCAGCCGCAGGTTTGGGCACACAGCGTCTGCTCACCCCCAAATCTTACTCCCTTTTGTCCCGAGGCTGAGCCTCACCCTTACAGCCTTGCTCCATCCACATAGCCAGCTCAGACCACGAGACAGCCTAAGCCCTAAGACGGAACACGTTCAGCCCTGTTGCTTGCCCTGTTGTTCCTTGTCCCAACCGTAGCTCAACCCTGGTCCCCCTGGACCTGGGGGCCCAGGGGATGGAGTTGGAAGCGCGGCCTTCCTGCTCTGTCACCGTGTGACACCTCTTCCTCCGCCCTGGCCCCCCTCTGACCACTCCCCACAGCTGGTGCAGGCCCTGCGGAAGGCCCTGGAGCCCGCTCTGAGTGACATCTCCGTGGACTGGTTTGTGCCTGACGCCGTGGAGGCTCTGCTGACGCCCCGAGAGATCCCAGCACTCTACCCCGGGGACCAGCTACTTGGTTATTGCTCGCTTTTCAGGGTGGACGGCTTCCGGCCCCGCCCACCAGGGGTAGGCCTGGGCTGGGTGCTGCTGTTGGTGGGCCTGGATGTCTCCTGTCCCCTGGGCCTCTCTCTGCCAAGCTCCCCCATGGTGTCCCCTAGGGCTGCATAGGGGCCACACTGAGCTCCCCCAGGCAGCTCCACCCTGCCCCGCGGGGGGTCTTCCACTGAGTTGTCTTGTACAGTGTGGCCCTTGGCTTTTCCCAAAGGTCACTGAAGCACCTGGCCACAGGAACAGCTCCACCATTTGCTGTGAGCTTTCTGTCAATGCTTGCTGCTCACTACTTCTCACAGTGCCCTGTGGCAAGCTCCCTCCAGCGCGTTTCCTGGGGCACTCAGTGAGACCTGAGCACAAGGCAGGCACCGACCGGGCCCCCGCCTCTGCCACCAGCTTGCCGCGTGCTGCGGGCAAGCCGCCAGGCCTGTCCGAGCCCAGTTCCTCACGGGGAAATGACGTTGCTCGGGGGTTGGTTGTTGTCGTCAGAGGGGCCCCTGGCAGGATGGATCCCTGGTGCTCAGTGCAAGTTCAAGAACTAGGTTTATGGTTTTAAGAAAAGCTGTCTCTCGGTGGCACTGAGCACGCTTTTCCTTTCTGAGCTCGAGGGCTGACACAGACCGCTCTGCCGATCCTAGAGCTATCCATCTGTCCAGCTAGCGTGTTTGCGCGTCCCCCTTCCTTAGCGCTGGGCTTTCTTTTCTGCTGTAGCAGCTTTATTGCTCCCTGCTTGTGCCACCTGAAAATCCTTTTTGGAGAGGTGGTGTGTAGCAACAATCAATTTTTTCTCCCATGATATTCTCCTAGGGCCAGGAGCCTGGCTGGCAGAGCGTGGGCGGCTCGGTGTTCCCATCCCCGGAGGAGGCGCCATCTGCCACCAGCCCTGGCACCGAGCCCACTGGCACCTCTGAGCCACTGAGGACAGGCACCGCGTCAGCAGAGCTGTCCAGCCCATGGGCTGCAGGGGACTCAGAGCTGAGTGAGTGGCCGGGGATGTGTGTGCGTGTGTAGCTGTGTTGGAGGACTGGGCAGTGGAAGGGGTCAGGGCTAGGACCATTCCCTCACCTCCCAGCAGGTACTGATGCTCTGACAGACCCAGTCACGGACCCTGGGCCCAACCCCTGCTCGGACACGGCCATATGGCGCCGCATCTTCCAGTCCTCCTACATCAGGGAGCAGTACGTGCTCACACACTGCTCTGCAAGCCCTGAGCCGGGCCCAAGCTCCACGGGCAGCAGCGAGTCCCCAGGCTCGCAGGGCCCTGGCTCCCCCGAGGGCAGTGCTCTCCTGGAACCCCCTTCTCAGCAGGGCTGCCGCAGCCTGGCCTGGGGAGAACCTGCAGGCTCCCGCTCCTGCCCCCTACCTGCACCCCCCCAGACTCCATTCAAGGTGAGCCAGCCCATTCACCCACTGTGTATCCAGCAAATGCTTATTTACCACCTGCTGTGTGCCAGAGTGCAATGTTTATTATGAAGTCTAGCTAGAGAGACCGATGGATGTCTCTACAATGCAACAATCAGTGATGGGGACACGGTATCATGGGGTGCAGTCAGGGTAACTCTGAGCCAGGAAAGAGCGAGACATTCTGGGGGTAGGAGTTGGTAGCCAGGCAAAGAGGGAGGAGGTAAACAGAGACAAGTAACAACTCCAAGTGGGAAGTAGGGATTGGAGATGACCCCGGGAAGGGGGGCAGAGCTTGGCCTGTTTCCGGAGGGTGGGGAGCAGACACCCAGGGTTTCACAGCAGGGGCATGTGGCCAGCGGCGTCTGTAGGACAGCCAAGGAGCTCTCCTTTCCTGGATCAGTGGCCCCCACATTTCACAAGCAGGTGGTGGCTTTGAGCACTGAGGTGCTAGGCCGTCGTCACAGAGCGGCTCTGGCGGGCCGAAGCCTTTCATCCCCTCCAAGCCGGGCAAACCCAGCCACCCACCGACCACGGCGGCATCCCTCGCTGGGTGCAGCACCAGATGGGCCAGGCCTGGAACCAGGCCAACAGCTGGGACAGGGCCTGGATGACTCAGGTAAGAGTTGGAGGGGGGCCGGGTTCCGGACACCAGGGAAGCCTTGTGGAGGTGGAGCCCAAGGCACCACTGCCGGTGGCCCTTCTCTCCCCAGGAAACCTGCTCTCCCCAGCCCCCATGGACTGGGACATGTTGATGGAACCACCCTTCTTGTTCACCGCTGCGCCCCCCAGTGGGGAGTCAGCGGCCCCAGCAGTGCCACCACCTCCCCAGGTTCCGCACTGCCATGTGGTGATCCGGGCCCTGTGTGGAGAGCAGCCCATGTGCTGGGAAGTGGGTGTTGGGCTGGAGACACTGTGGGGGTCTGAGGATGGCTCACAGCCACCATCACGCCCTGGAAGAGAAGCTGCTTGGGACCAAGCACTCCATAGACTGACCGCAGCCTCTGTGGTCCGTGACAACGAGCAGCTGGCTCTCCGAGGGGCAGAGACCACGGCTGACCGGGGTGAGTTAGCAGCAGGCTGTCAGGGCCGGGGGGTGAGGGGGGCACATGGGGTGCAAAGTGGCAGAGGTAGAGGTCTGTGCTTTTGATTTTTTTTTTAAAGATTTATTTATTGATTTGAAAGAGCAACAGCAAGACAGGGAGAGACAGAGACAGAGAGATCTTCTATCCACTAGTTCACTCCTCAGATGCCTGCAAACAGCCAGGTTTGAGTCAGGCTGAAGCCAAGAACCAAGAACTCCATCTGGGTCTCCCATATGGGTGGCAGGGGCCTACGCACGTGGGCCACCTTCTGGTGCCTTCCCACTAGCAGGGATGCTGGACCAGAAGCAGAGTAGCCAGAGTGGAACCAGTGCTCCTGTATGGGATGCTGCACTGCAACACCAGGTCCTTACTGCTTGTACACCTCACTTCATTAACAAAGGGTCTGAGCTGGCTCACCGTTTTCACAAGACAAAAACTTAAGCAGTGCAGAGGGGAAAATGAAAATAAAAGGCAGCTGAGAACGAGGTTATATTCCAGACACATGCGTGAGGTTACATTTCCTTGAAAGCATGGGATGCAAGACTGGTAAGCTTCCTGGCAGCCAACACGGCGCCCACAACATAAAAACATCTTTGTCACTCAGGAAAAGATGACTAAAACGGTAAGCTGGCATCTCAGTTCCTCAGGTGCCCTGGCCACACCTGAAGTGTGACTGGCAGCTGCCATACTGGATCATGCGGATATGGGACATTTCCGTCCTCACAGAAAGTTCTACTGGACAGTGCTGCAGGGACTGGAGGGAAAGGCACCAGCCAATGCTTCCTCTGGGTGCTGTCCACGCGGCTGGATTTCTGGGTTTCCAAGGAACCCTAGTCCTGCTGAGGGCTGAAGGTTCAGCCTGACCGCGTGTCAATGTAGGAGTGGGGTGCTGAGCTGCTCTGGGCCTCAGAAGGCACTTCTCTCTGTTCCAGAAGGGACACACCGAGAGAAGCTGGGGGAAACACAGCCGTTCCCCTCCATGGAGCCCTCCACAGAGGTGGGTGGAGGGACTCCAGCAGGCTACCCCTTGGTTTCACAGTTCATGCTCGGAGGTCCTGGCTTCGAGCCCTTCAGACAAGCAAGGTCAGCTCTGCCCCCTCCTGCTTCACCTGCCCCGTAGCTGTGGATGCTACCACCAGAGAGGTCCTACCTGAGGCCCTGCAGGTGCAGAGCTCAGGTAGGGGCCCTCCCTGGTGACTCTGGGTGCAGCGCGCACTGCATTGGCCATCTTTCAGACAAACCTCACTCCTGTCTCTTGTGCTCCTGCAGAGCCGCCCGAGCCCCCAGGTGCCCTTCCTGCCTCTCAAGGCCATCTCACTGCAGCTCCGCTGTACACAGGCATCCCCTCGAACGGTAAGTCAGCGTGGGCAGTGAGGAGTGCCTGAGGCACAGAGGCCGCCTGCTAGCGCGGGTGGGTCTCACCACTGGACCTCATGGGGCCTCTCCAGCAGGTGCCTGCAACTCGGACCAAAACAGCAACGCCAAGGCTGCTTTGAGGGACCCCGCATCCCCTACTGGAGGTCCTCGCCACCTGCCCCCACAGCCTCCCTCGAGGCTCAGCTTGGGCCGCCGGCGCGGACTCCACAGCCCTTCCCCAGGCCACGCCTGCGAGGCCAGCAGTGAAGGCAGCGACCACGACTACCTGCCCCTGGTGAGGACTCGGGAGGTGGAGGGCGGCGTCGCCAGGGCCAGAGCGCTGTCTCAGCTCGCTTCTCCCCCCACCTCCTCTCTCCTCAGGTGCGGCTGCAGGAGGCGCCAGGGTCCTTCCGCCTGGACGCGCCCTTCTGCGCGGCGGTGTGCATTCCGCAGGAGCGCCTGTGCCGAGCCTCGCCCTTCGCAGCGCACCGCGCCAGCCTCAGCCCCACCTCGGCCTCATCTCCCTGGGCACTTCTGGGCCCTAGTGTTGGCCAGGGAGACAGTGCCACAGCCTCCTGCAGCCCATCCCCCAGCTCGGGCTCCGAGGGGCCAGGACAGGTGGACAGTGGGCGAGGCTCAGACACTGAAACCTCCGAGGGGGCAGGAGGGCTGGGTGGTGCTGACCTGCGGGGCCGCACCTGGGCCACGGCTGTGGCCCTTGCGTGGCTAGAGCATCGCTGTGCCGCCGCTTTCACCGAGTGGGAACTGACGGCGGCCAAGGCTGATTGCTGGCTGCGGGCCCAGCACCTGCCAGATGGCCTTGATCTGGCAGCCCTTAAGGCCGCCGCCAGGGGGCTCTTCTTGCTGCTGCGCCACTGGGACCAGAACCTGCAGCTACACCTACTGTGTTACAGCCCCGCCAACGTGTGAAAGCTGCCTGCTCCTTGGGCTGGCTCCCCCGGCAACATGCTCAAGTCACTGCCGCCCAGCGCTGGCCTCTCCATGCGGGAAAGGGGTAGGCTGGCTCCAGCCGGTCCCCCACTGCTTCTCATTCCCTCCCCAGAATCCTTGTGCCCCAAGAAGTGCCTGCCGGTGCTCTCTCCCACTCTTCCCACCCCAAACCCTTTGGCTGTGTGCTCTGAGCTCTGTGCAGCACAGTGGAAGGGGAGAGACCCACAGTTCCTAATTCCTATGCAATAAAGTGCCTCTTAGGACTTCCAGAGTGAGTTCTTTATCTGCCCTGTACATACCTCACCACTGTGTCCACACACCGGCTGCCCCTGCCTCCATGTAAGCTGCAGAGAGGTGGACTTGGCAAGGTTTATTCCCAAGGGCACTGAGTCCAACCCACCCGGGGTCCTGGGAGTGGACTGGAGGAGGACGGGGCGGGTTTCAGTGGCCTTTCTTGTCCTGCTGGACGTTCTTGGGGAAAGGCTGCGGGCCCAGCCACAGCTGCAGCAGGATGACGGCATGGCACGCGTGCAGGGCAGCAGAGCTGCAGGACGTGGATGGGTACGTGTTCCAGGAGAGCTCGATGAGCCCCAGCACCAGCAGCCTAGAGATGAGAAGAGGCTCTGGGTTTTGTCCAGTGTCAAGGCCTGTAGTCCTGCTCCTCGTGCCCTACATGCGTCCGTCCCCCAGCACCTCCATGGTTGCAGCCTTGGCACAAGGAACTCCCTCGCCCCTCCCCCACCCCCAGGTGTCCCAGCCAGTACCTGAGCAGGTGTGTGAGCCAGCGTGCAGGTGTGGCCCACAGGAGGTAGGGCAGTGTATGGAAATACCAGACATAGAACTGGTAGTGGAGGGAGCGGCTGAAGCAGATGCCAATGAAGTTGGAGGTGAAAAGGATAGAAACGATCTGTATTTGATGGTCAAGGCCAAGGGCAGGAGCAGAAAAGGGAGGAGTCGAGGGTTCCCAAAACATAGGGGAAAAGTTTTAGGATCAAAAGTCCCCCTCGCTCAGCCATTCCCAGATTCACACCTTTGGGCGAGTTTCTTCACCTCTCTGGATCTGTTCTTTAGTCTAACCTGGAGCCAGTAACAGCCAAGGCTGTAAAGCCTAATGAGTGAGTCCCTTACTAGCTGTGTGATCTTGTTAAGTTCCCTAATTTTTAACCCCTTAATTTTGCCATCTGTAAATGAGAGTGGTGACAGTACATCCCTACCTCAGGGAGTGTCAGAATGCACACGGATCTCTTAGGACAGCATGTGAGCACTCATACTGGGGGCTTACTGTTTAGAATTGAGAATAAACTTCAATATGTGAACTGCTCAGCTCAGCGACTGGTACAGAGCAGGGACGCTACGAATGGGCTCCCGGTACCTGTCTCAGGTCAGCAGCCATCCGGGCCTGAAGACTGGAGCTCCGTCTGCCACTGCAGATGGGAAGACTTACCTTCCAGTGATTGAAAGGATATGATTGGGGGTGAGGGGCTGGGGCGGGACCTTCCTTTTGGAGGGATCCTTCAGCAGTGACAGGATACTTTCCCCCGACCTGGGGAGAAGCCATGTAGATATTCATCAGGTCCCCACTGTGGGCCAAACTCTAGACTCGCCCCCATGAGCTTGACCTCTCCCCCAAAGCAGCCCTAAGTCCAGGGCCCTTCACTCCTTCCCCCAACTCTGCCATGCCACTCCCTTTCTTACCTGTGCCACCTGCAGAGAGCAAACAGCAAAAGCAGGGAGAGGTGGGCGGCCAGCAGGGCCAGGTGGAAGGCCCGATGCAGGAAGAGGGCCTCAGGGAGGAAGCGCCAGTTCACTGTCCAGCGGAAGAGGAACTGACGGCCCAGGTCAAAGGAACGGGATAGGTAGCCAATGGGGTTCTTCAGCAGGAAGGGCAGCCCCAGCACCACCTGAGGATGGGTCTGATGTGGGCAGAGCTGCCAAGGTTCACCCCACGCATCATGCGAACCACTGAGGGGTGCAGGAGTGGGATGGAGGCCCTAGAGTTTCCCTCATTCTCACCAGGAATAGCAGGAAGCCACCCCCAGCCAGTGCGGGGGCCAAAGAAGCCAAGGAGGCAGAGAATCACTATGCTTTAAAGTTTCGATTCACCAAGTCATAATGGGCAGAGCCAAATCTCTCAGGGACCACCCAGTTCAACATCCTTGTTTGATAGCTACTGAGATGAAAGCCCAGAGACAGCCGCAGCCCAGCCAAGTTCAGAATCAACTCCAAAACCCCATCCCTTGGCTTTGAGGAAGTTCCAGGGGTCAAAGGAGGCCAGACAGGTGGCTTCCCCTTCACTGGAAAAGGGCAGGGTGAGGTACCTGGAGGACAGCACAGATGCCCAGCTTGGGGAGGGCCCCACGGAAGCCAAACTGGGTGAGGAGGAGGAACAGTAACCCAGGGGCGAAGAGCAGTATGTTCATCTTCACAGAGACTGCCAGGCTGGGGCGGGCAGGGAAGAGGAAGGGGAGAGGTCAGCCCTAGGGCCATGCCTCCCACCCAAACACCCAGTTCCCTATTGGCTCCACAGCAACTTTTTCCTCCAGGCCAGCAAGCTCCAGGATGGGGCCCACATTCAGAACTGCTGGAGGGAGGGCAAGGTCATTTGGGAAGAGGTCGGGGTAGGGGTAGACACCTAGCTCTACTCCCAGACTGCGTAAACATGTACTGGGTATTTAGAACATGCCAAGACCAACTCCAACAATGGGGAGAGAGGCAGGGAAGAGGGCACGTGTGGTGTGATGGTGGACACGCCCCACAGAGCCTGGACTTGCCCTGGGGGCCCTGAGTAACCCACATTGTTTTCTGGCCACTCCATAACTCCCTCTGCTGCAGGAAACTGGGAAGAGCGAGCTAGAGATGCCAGAAGTGAGGGGTGCTGACCTGAAGCAGCAGCAGCCCCAGCCCCAGCGCTGTGCCAGTAGAAGGTTGACACTGAGGAAGAGCAGTGCCATGGCCACCGGGTCATTGAAGAGACGCAGCACAAAGATGGAGTGGACACGGTAAGAGGCGCAGCACATGAAGAAAAAGACGAAGGGAGGCACCTGCGGGGTGGGCACGGTGAGGAACAAAGTCAGCTCTACAGACCGGAGCCATCCCCACTCCCCAGGCCTCCCAAGATGGGGTGCTCGGGTCCTGTGACCATGAACTCACCTTGCAGGTCTGGTGGTAGATCAAGAAGACAAGCAGCAAGGTGGCCAAGTAGAGCACAGCAAAGATGTTCTGTGCCGTGCGTATGTCAGTGCCTCGGCCAGTGGCGTAGTAGAGCCCCATGAAGATGTATACAAAGCCAGCTGGGTACCTGAAGGTAACAGCGGATGTGAGGCTAGGTCAGGCCAACCGGCCTCTACTCAGCCAGCCCCCCCCCCATCTTTCCTGAACCTCCCACTGCACTCACACAAGAGGTCCAGTGTCACCCTGCAGCTGGGTATAATCATAGGTGCCATTGATGACGCCCTCCACCTGGGCCATGTAGGCCTTCCAGTCGATCTCTGTGTCTAGAAGAGGACAAGATGAGCTGGTTACGTCCCAAGCGCAGAGCTTGTCTGCCCCCACCCACCCATAGCACCAGAAGACCACAGAATTCCAGCTCACTTTCAGGGCTTCCACCGCTAAACCGCCTGACATTGTCTGAGTGAACTCAGGCCTCTGAAGCGCAATATATCTATGACTGAATTCATGATCTTTCTTCCCACTCCAATGCTGACTAGTTTACAAGCAGCGAGCTAGGGGCCGGCGCTGTGGTGTAGCAGGTAAAGCCACTGCCTGCAGTGCTAACATCCCATATGGACACTGGTTTGAGTCCTGGCTGCTCCACTTCCAATCCAGCTCTCTGTTATGGCCTGGGAAAGCAGTAGAAGATGGCCCAAGTCCTTGGGAGCCTGTACACCTTCCGGAGACCCGGAAGAAGCTCCTGGTTTTGGATTGGCACAGCTCCAGCCGTTGTGGCCATCTGGGAGTGAATCAGGGGAGGGAAGACATCTCTTCTTTGCCTCTGCCTTCCTGTAATTCTGCCTTTCAAATAAATAAATAAATCTTAAAAAAAAAATAAATAAAAAGAGCAACGAGCTAAAAGGGTAGAATCAGGATTGGAACTCGACCACCATACTACCACTGTAACAAAGCTCTCAAATCCCTTCCTGATCTAATCTTAACTTCTGTGAGCTCATCTCTCACAACTATTCACTCTTGATTTCCACCTCACAGCTCTAAAACATTTGTTTCAGTTCCTCGAAGGAACCAGGCTGGTTTTTGGTACAGGCTCCTCCCTGCCTAGAGTGCTCTTTCACCATCACCCTTCCAGTTGCTAGTTCCTGCTTTTCAGGCGGGCTCTAGAAAGCATCCCCTGACTCCTCAGGTGTGGCTTAAGCGCCCTCCTATGCCCTAGACAACATCCTATCTCACTATGAGAAGCACGAGTATGATACACTGTAACTGCCTGCTCATTTCTTTTTGTCAGCTCCACACACCCAAGTTGGAAATGCGTCTCATTTTCTATAGCTCTGGTACCTAGCATGTTAAGCATATAATAAGTACTCAAGAAATACGTGTTGAATCCATTTCTTTGGCAAGAAAGCCGAGTGCCTTAAGCCATGTTTAGATTCATCCCGGAAAAGAGCCATCAACAATGCTTAACGGACTCAAGTGGTCCCAAATACCATCATTAAGAAGGGATTTTTCTGAATGGAGCAGTAGAGAAAATTGAGATCCTGGAGGAAAAAACGACGGAGAGGAGGAGGAGGAGGAGGAGGAGGAGCAGCAGCAGCAGCAGCACATTAACTCGGGCCCAGATCTTCCGGTTTGAAGGTTGGTTTGCTTTCCTGGTTTGGCAGGCCCATCTCCTAGGGTCCTGCCCTCCAGTCATGGGGTTAAAAATTAAGATCGGTTTTGGGTCGAGCAGGCTGGGGGCTCGGGAAAAAGACATAGCTCTACAACTGGTGAGTGAGTGGATCTTAAGTCTGGTTTTGGGTCCCTCCGGGCCTGGGTCCCATCTGGGTCCGGGATTCGGGTCTCCCTCCCACCATCCCCTCCCTTCCTCGCCCACCGCCCCCTCCCGTCCCCTCCCGCCCTCCCCCGCCCCCTCGGCGCACTCACATGCCACCCTGTGAATGACCCAGAAGGTGATGCCCACCTCCGCCAGGCAGAGGCAGGCGGCCACCAGCAGCGTGTAGCGCGGCTCCCGAAGCAGTAGGCGCCGCTCTTGCCAGACGCGTTGCAGCCATGGCGCGCAGACCCCTGCCGCCTGGGCCGCGGCACCCGCCCGGCCGCGTTTCCGCAGCCCAGCAGCCATCTTGACGGTGCGCCGCTCTTGTAGACCCGCTACTCCGGAAACCTGATCCTACGACACTTAGGTTCCGCCTCTTTCTGCGGGGCGCCGCCCGGCCTGGGAGTTGACCTAAGTAGCCATCCTGTCCTCATTTACTCTACGAAAACTTAGTTCTTCGTCATCTGTCTGCTCTGATGCACCACCAGTATCACACGTACGGGCAGGAACAAAGTCTTACTCTAGTACGTATGCCGCCCTGGGCACATAGTCATGTAGTACGGAAGCCTGCCCAGCAAAGAATTCCTGCCCCAAATCCCCACAGCCCTGAGCTCAGCACCCCACTTCCGCTGTGTAGGGGCTATCTGTGTTCTTTTCTCCCCGGAGGGCAAAGCCCCTGCCCACGCCCCTCGACCTCCCCTCAGAGCATTCCGGGTGCTCAATGCGGCTCGGGAAGAAATGAACCTTTCGTTAAATTAGAGACTTCTTGGTGGAAGGAGCCATTCAAACTGAAAACACGAGAGGTCACAGCGAGGAGCCCGACTGAGCGTGGCGGCACGAGTGCGGCCTGCGGGAATGAGCGGGCAGTGCAGCCGCAGGGCTTCGGCTCTAAACCACACGGTGTCCCCGGCCGGAGACTTCTCGGAAGAGCGCGCCGCAGAAGGCGGAAGTTCCACGTGTTTGTGTTGAGCAAAGGCGGGCGGTGGGCGGGGACACGAGGCTGCGGCCGCCCACGGTCCCGCGGTCCGCATTGGCTGCACAGGCCCGGCCCCGTGGCCCGGTCTGGGACAGCATGGCTTCTCCCGGGGCCCCGGCGCCCCAGCTGGAGCTACCCGAGCGGAACTGTGGGTACCGCGAGGTCCAGTACTGGGACCAGCGCTACCGAAGCGCTGCCGACTCCGCCCCGTACGAGTGGTTCGGGGACTTCTCCTCCTTCCGTGCCCTCCTAGAGCCGGAGCTGCGGCCGGAGGACCGGATCCTCGTGCTAGGTGGGTTGTCCTGACGCTGCCTGGTTCCGGAGCTGGCGGCCCCGGCCCCGGCTACTGTGCTCTGGTCTGTTTAGTCCTCACGGAGGACTCCGCAGTCGGGAACCGAGTTCCAGTGCCTCCAGAACCCCGGAGGCGTGAGAGAGTGCCCCTCGCGGGGTCCCCTGAACCAGGGGAAAGAGCAGTCTGTCGGGGTGCACGCATGCGGGTGTGCCAGCACCCTGGGCAGGCAGCCCCTCGTTGAAGTCGCACCGCTACTTGTCTGTGTGACTTAGAACAAGGCAGGAACTCGTTCTGAGCTTTAGAGTCATTTCTGAAAACGAGGCTGCGAGTACAGGTCAGGTAGGGCGCGTGCACCCTGAGCGCCGCGCGCGTCTCCCTGTGCGCCGACGGGCTTCGGAAAGCAGTCTTCCCCTAGAGTCACTGCACTCTGCGAGCCGGAACCGGCACTTTTTTCCGCCCGAGGTGAGGGTGAGAGCAGCGCCCTCTGCAGCCCGAGGGGAGAGGGCAGCCGCGATGGGCGCGCTTCCCGCCGCGAAGGTGGGCTCCCTCAGGCCTGGGGACCCCGGGGGTTCTGTCCCACAGTCAGCCCTGCAGGCTCCAGTGAGGGCTGCCCTCCAATTATAGTTTTTATTTTGCTCTTCGTAAAAGACGTTAAATGTTTAAGTGCAATATTTAATAGGTATGAAAGATATCTTTTATGTACATATAATATATATTGTATGTAAGGTATAAGTAACAAAGGCAATGCATAGGTCTACCAGATTGAGTTTGAGAAACAGGGCATTGCGAGGTTTAGAAAGGAAGTATATCCTATTGGACTCCAGGCTGGTGCTGTGGCCTAGTGGGTTAAGGGGTTAAGCCATACCCGCAGTGCTGGCATCCCATATGACCACAGGTTTGAATCCAGGCTGCTCCACTTCTGATCCAGTTCCCTGCTAATGTCAGAGGATGGCCCAAGTACTTGGGCCCTTGCTACCCACACAGGAGACCTGGAGGAAGCTTCTGGCTCTTGGCTTCTCCTTGGCCCATCCCTGGCTGTCGTGGCCATTTGGGGAGACAACCAATGAATGGAAGATCCTTCCCTCTCTGTCCCTCCTCTGTTTCTGTAACTCTGCCTTTTAAATAAATAAAATTAACGAAAAAGGAAATAGACTGTATAGGCAGCTAATTATGTTGGAATGCTGGCACAGCTGATCAATCTGTTTTTCAGACTTTGATGTGCATCAAGATCATCTGGAAATCTGGACCCCACCCTGGGATTCTAATTCCAGGGATGGTCTAAAGTGGGACTCGGGAGTCTATTTTCAATAAATTCCAGGGTCTGGTGCCATGGCACAGTAGGTTAATCCTCTGCCCGCAGTGCCGACATCTCATATGGGCACCGGTTCTAGTCCCGGCTGCTCCTCTTCTGATCCAGCTCTCTGCTGTGGCCTGGGAAAGCAGTAGAAGGTGGCCCAGGTCCTTGGGCCCTGCACCCGCATGGGAGACCCGGAAGAAGCATCTTGCTCCTGGCTTCGGATTGGTGCAGCTCGGGCTGTTGCAGCCATCTGGGGAGTGAAACAATGGAAGGAAGAACTTTTTCTCTGTCTGTCCCTCTCACTGTCTATAACTCTACCTCTCAAATAAATAAATAAATAAATCTTAAAAGAATTCCAAAGCTAGTTCTTTAAATATAAATGTTTATATTTGAAAGGCAGAGTAAGAGAGGAGAGGGTGATCTATCCACTGGTCCACTCCCCAGATGGCTGCAACAGCCAAGCCTGGGCCAGGCTGAAGGAGGGAGCCTCCCATGTGGGTGACAGGGGCCCAAGTACTAGGGCCATCCTCCCAGTCATATAGGCAGGGAGCTGGGCTGGAAGTGGAGCAGCCAGAATTGAATCCAGCGCTCCTCAGTACCAGCTGCCAGTCTCACAGGCTCTGGCTTAACCCTCGGGGCCACAATGTCAGCACCAGCCACATCTGATTCTTACGTTACTTATTGAGAGAGGGACATTCCCTCAAGATCTGCCTGTCTGGGAGGTATCCTTTTCTGGATAGGAGGGCTGAAAAATCTAAAAGGAAAGACTTTCCAAGCAGGATCTCTGAAATCTAAGAATGTGACCCCCAACTGGGGGCCCTGTGATTCCTTTTACTTCAACGGCCATGAGTTGAGGACCTGGTAGGTGCCAAGAATGTGCTGGGCCATCTCAAACTGATTTAATCTTTGTGACGTCCCCTACAGGTGAAAGACAAATTTTTGTTTGTTTGTTTTTATATCCTCATTTATTCATTGAACTAAGAAACTTACTCTGTCCAGATGCTGAGTTAATTTCAAGGCAAACAAGTTTCTTGCCCCCATGAAATTTTCAATTTGGCAAGAAAGAGCAATCTACCCAAAGAATATTGTCTGACATAGTAAATACTAGTGTGAAGTCAATGGATAAAGATTTAAGCATTCCTAATCCAGCAACAACTCTAATCCCATGAACTATAATTGGCAGAAGCAATCATAAACATAGAACTCCATGTCATCCAGTTATTCATTTGCATTTCTACTTAAACATTTTAAAAAATCATACCTAAGATTGCATAATATATATATATGCTATCTTGATATTAAACATAAGAAAGAATGAAAATGACCATGCAATAATAGCAACTTTGAATTGCCTTCCTTTTTAGACAAGTTATAATCCTATTTGTTCTCTACAGTGTAGATTATTGTTGTAGGTACTCTTCCTCTCTCTCACTTTTTTTTTAAATATTAATTTATTTATTTGAAAGAGTTACCCAGAGAGAGAAGGAGAGGCAGAGAGAGAGAGAGAGAGAGAGGTCTTTCATCTGCTGGTTCACTCCCCAGCTGGCTGTAATGGCTGGAGCTGTGCTCATCTGAAGTTTGGAGCCAGGAGCTTCTTCCAGGTCTCCCACATGGGTGCAGGAAGCCAAGGACTTGCGCCATCTTCTACTACTTTCCCAGACCATAGCAGAGAGCTGGGTCCGAAGTGGAGCAGCTGGGACTCAAACCAGCGCCCATATGGGATGCCAGCACTACAGGAGGCATCTTTACTTGCTTCACCACGGCATCAGCCTCCCTCCCTCTCACTTTTTTTTCCCAGATGACAAATCTGGAGTTTTAGAAACTGAGCCCCAAGACAAAAGAATTTCTTAGACCAGTATTATATTTTAGCTATCCTTTATCCTAGACCTTTTAATGACATTGCCATGAGCAAATTCTAAACTCTTTGCACTTCAGTTTCCCCTTTGTGAACTCATGATTATACTAGATACTGCAGTATAATCATGACAAATTTTAAGAGCCTTACTCTAGGTTAGGGGTCTGCGTTCTCTGAAAATGGCCAGATGGCTAATATTTTAGATTCTGTAGGCTGTGCAGCCTCTTTACTGCTACTACTACTAGCACTACTACTCAGTTGTGCTGTCGTAGTGAAAAAGCAACTACAAGCAATATATAAGTGAATAAGAATAGTTGTTTTCCAATAAAACTATTTATGAGAACAGATGGCAGCTGGATTTGGCAACCCCTGCTGTAGGTCACAGGTTGCACCCACTGGAAGCAAATCCTGAGATGAAGGTTCGCATTGGAGCCATCTGCTTGTTAACTGCTCCCAGGGGAAGTTGCTAAGGGATTGGGGGAATGAGGAAGAGGAGGCCGAGCAAGGTTGTGGTCACTTACCTTTACCCTAAGAGTCATGTCAGAAGCAAACACATGCCAAAGCCTAGGGACATGCAACAACTGGCAAAAGGAGTCCAAAAGAACCTGGTCAGAGCACCGTGTCCACTGCCATTGTGCAGCAAGTATGTGGTGACCTAAGGGTGCTATGTGGTGCCTGATCACTGTGGTCATATATATGTATTTTTTTATTTGACAGGCAGAATTAGACAGTGAGAGAGAGAGAGAAAGGTCTTTGCTCTGCCGGTTCACCCCCCAAATGGCCGCTAAGGCTGGCGCACTGCGCAGATCAGGAGCCAGGCACCTCCTCCTGGTCTCCCATGTGGGTGCAGGACCCAAGCACTTGGGCCATCCTCCACTGCCTTCCCTTCCCGGGCCACAGCAGAGAGCTGGACTGGAAGAGGGGCAACCGGACTAGAACCCGGCACCCATATGGGATGCGGCGCCACAAGCGAAGGGTTAACCAAGTGAGCCACGGCGCCGGCCCCCACTGTGGTCATATTGAAATAGCTGACTGGGCCTCTTGAAAACTGGGGGCAGTGGAACACTTTATTTAGAGCGCTGGCTCTGGACCGACACAGGCCTGGGTCCACATTTTGTCTCTAGCAGTGACCTTATTACCTTGGGCAAGTTCCTTGTCCATTTCCCTCAACTTTCCCATCTAGAAAATGGGAATGGAAATAACAGTATCATATTTATGTGTGTATAGTATATATATACACACACACATATATGATATATATATATACCTACTATCAAAATAAACAGATAATTCTTAGAAAAACATAGTACCTGGTGTTCAGTGACTGCTACTGAAAATTAGAGAAGCGATTTATCCAGGGCTGTTCAGAGAACTCTGCCTGCGCCTGGTCCCTGTGGCTGGAACACCCTGTGGCAGGTGATTGCACATGGATGACAGTCACAGCTCTGCTTCCATTACTCTTCATTCTCTACCCTTGCCTGACCCCATCCTTCATAGGGATTTTTTTTTTTTTTTTTTGACAGGCAGAGTGGACAGTGAGAGAGAGAGACAGAGAGAAAGGTCTTCCTTTGCCGTTGGGTCACCCTCCAATGGCCGCCGCAGCCAGCGCGCTGCGGCCAGCGCACCGCGCTGATCCGATGGCAGGAGCCAGGTACTTATCCTGGTCTCCCATGGGGTGCAGGGCCCAAGCACTTGGGCCATCCTCCACTGCACTCCCTGGCCATAGCAGAGAGCTGGCCTGGAAGAGGGGCAACGGGGACAGAAGCCGGTGCCCCAACCGGGACTAGAACCCGGTGTGCCGGCGCCGCTAGGTGGAGGATTAGCCTAGTGAGCCGCGGCACCAGCCCATAGGGATCTTTTGATAATTTGACTTCCAATTTAGATTTCCTAGAGAGAGAAAGGGCTGACCAGAGGATTCAGTTGCCCAGTGCCCATGGTGGCTAGCTCTGTTACAGACAGGTGGATTGGTTTACATCTTACTTCCCAAGTTCTCGGTGTGCGGTTAGCGTCTTCGTAGCGCTGGGGCCCCGTGTGATGTGTTCTTGGATGTTTGAATTGATCCTTTCTGGCTCTGCTTTCCTGGGCCCCCACCTTGGCAGTTTGTAGCCTTCCCCATCTTGGTTGCTGGCTCCAGATCACTGAGGCAGCAGAATCAATCAGTGCTTTGTGAGCATGACTGGCCCTGTGATCAGGTTGTGATCTCCCTTCATCTTTGGAACAAATTCTCTTGGAAGATGCGATCCTGTTCCAAGGGGAACAAAAGGGAGAAACTTGGGTTTGTCCACAGTGGGCAGAGCTCTGCAGGCATTTGAGGCTAAGTAGGGGTGAGGAAGGGTCGGTGGGGCAGGTGCCCAGTGGACCCCACTTCCACCCCACCCATGTGCTGTTATCTACCAGTGCTTGTTGTGGCTCCACTGAGGGGAAGCAGGTTGGGTTTTCCCAGGTGAGACAGTATTCTCCCGAACCCAGGGCCTGAGGAGGAACACAGGAAGCAGCCCCTGAGGACTGGCCAGCTGCCTCTGTGTGCCCTGTCCAGGTGCCAAGCCCTGCTAGATTAGGGCTATCCCAACAGCTGATCCTGTGATCCTCTTAGGGAGGCAAATGCCTAATTCTAAGAGCTGGGGATCCCCCACGTGGGGCTGCTGAAAGCTGTCATCAGCTGTGTTTTCAGGCCGAGGCTGGCCAGTGGAAGGCCTGGCGAGACCGCTGTGTCTTCCGAAGAAGTAGTGCCCATTGGGCCATAGGTCCATACCCACAGCTCTAACCCCCGGCCCCTGTCTAACCTGACACTGCCCTCTTTGAGACTGCCTCCAGGCACTTCCCACCAGTGTTGCCATTTGGTCAGTTTTTTCAAGATCCTGCTTGGTTATCAGCTCCCCTGAAGATTTGGGTTGACTCACCCTCCTCTGTCTTCCACAGCCTGTCCCTATGGAAACACTCCTCACATCAGGTGGCCAGCGCCTGATTCCACATTGGTTTTTCTCATGAAGCCTGAGCTCTTTGAGGACAGAGACTCTTACTTGGCAGTAGAGCCAACATGGAGTGCTCAATACAGGCATGAAATATTACAGGGATCAACTCCAATGTGCGTCCCCACCTTCACCTGTTAATTCTGCCTTGAAAAACAAGGTGGGGGGCCAGGGCCAATGGGGCTGTGGTGAAGAGGGTAAAGCTGCAGCCTGTGAAACTGGCATCCCATACAACCGCTGGTTTGAGTCCCAGCTGCTCCACTTCCAATCCAGCTCCCTGCTAATGCACCCGGGAAAGCAGCAGGAAATGGCCCAAGTGCTTGGGTCCCTGCTACTCACAAGGGAGACCCAGATGAGTTCCTCAATCCTGGCTTCAGCCTGGCCCATCCCTGGCTGTTGCAGCCATTTGGGGAGTGAACCAGTGGGTGGAAAACCTCTCTGTCTCTTCCACTTTCTCTGTAATTCTGCCTTTCAAGTAAATAAGGAAGAAAAATAAATTAAAATAAATTTTAAAAAGAAAAAGTAGGAGAATCACCTGACATGAAGCCTTCCCAGGGTTGATATCTTCTGAAGTTCTCTAAGAGGTAAGATATTATCTTTGTTTTTAATATTTATTTAGTTATTTATTTGAAAGGCAGAGTTACAGGGGCTGGCGCTGTGGCACAGAAGGTTAAAGCCCTGGCCTGAAGTGCCTGCATCCCATATGGGCTCCTCTTCCAATCCAGCTCTCTGTTATGATCTGGGATAGCAATAGAAGATTGTCCAAGTCCTTGGGCCCCTGTACCCACGTGGGAGATCCGGAAGAAGCTCCTGGCTCCTGGCTTCATATTGGCACAACTCCAGCCATTGCAGCCACCTGGGGAGTGAACCAGCAGATGGAAATCTCTCTCTCTGTCTCTACCTCTCTCTGTAACTCTGTCTTTCAAATAAATAAAAATAAATCTTTTTTTAAAAAAAAGAAAGGCAGAGTTACAGAGAGAGAGAGATCTTCCATCTACTGGTTCACTCCCCCAAATAACAGCAGCAGCCAGGGCTGGGCCAAGCTGAAGCCAGGAGCCAGGAGCTTCGTCCGGTTCTCCTACATGGGTGCAGGGGCCCAAGCACTTGGGCCATCTTCTACTGCTTTCCCAGGCACATTATCAGGGAGCTGGATCAGAAGTTAAGCAGCCAGGACTCAAGCAGTGCCCATTTGGGATGCCGGTGCTGTAGGTGGTGACTTAACCCACTGTGCCACAATGCCAGCCCCTAGATATTATCTTAATAATAATACTATAGGGAGCTGGCATTTAGCCTAGCAGTTAAGACACCCACAACAAGGTACCTGGATCTGGCTCCTGGCTTGGCTCTCGTTCCCGTTTGCAGCTTTCTGCCAATGCAGGTCTTGAAAGGCAGTAGTGATGACTTAGTAAGACCAATCGGGAGACTTGGATTATATTCCTGGCTCCCAGCCCCGGCTTGGCCCAGGACATTTGGGGAATGTACCAGCAGAGGAGAGTGCCTGCTCTCTCCCCCCATCTCAGATAAATCCATAAATAAATAAAAATTTGAAAATAATGGGGCCAGCACTGTGGCGCAGTGGGTTAATGCCCTGGCCTGCAGTGCCGGCATCTTAAATGGGTGCCAGTTTGAAACCTGGCTGCTCTACTTCCAATCCAGCTCTCTGCTGTGGCCTGGGAAGGCAGTGGAAGATGGCCCAAGTCCTTGGGCCCCTGCATCTGCATGGGAGACCCAGAAGAGGTTCCTGGCTCCTGGCTTCAGATCGACACAGCTCTGTCTGTTGCAGCCAATTGGAGAGTGAACCATCGGATGGAAGACCTCTCCTCTTTCTGCCTCTCCTCTCTCTATGTAACTCTGACTTTCAAATAAATAAATAAATCTTTTTAAAAAAAGAAAATAATATAGTCCTAATAGTGGCAGTATTATCTCCATTCTCAGAGTGAGGAAACTGAGGCTTGAAGAGTTTAATGATTTGCCATGGCCGTGTGACTAGGGATATCCTAAGTTCAGAGCTCCCTCAACTACTCCTGAGAAGTTTTCTTTCTTTTTAATGGTTTATTTATTTATTTGAAATGTAGAGTTACAGAGAGAGAAATTGATCTTCCATCTGCTGGTTCATTCCTCAAATGGCTGTGATGGCCAAGGCTGGGTCAGACCAAAGTCAGGAGCCAGGAGCTTCATCTGGATTCCCCACATGGGTGCAGGAGCCCAAGCACTTGGGCCATCTGCTGTTTTCTCAGGATCATTAGTCAGGAGCTGGATCAGAAGTACAGCAGCCAGGTCTTGAACCAGCACATATAGGTGATGCCGGCACTACAGACAATGGCTTAACTGACTACATCATAGTGCTGGCCCCTTCTTCCTTTTTTAAGGGTTTATTTATTTGAAATGCAGAGTTACAGAGAGAGGAAGAGACAGAGATTTTCCACCTACTGGTTGGCTACAACAGTCAGGACTGGGTCTCCCAAGTGAGCGCGCAGGGGCCCAAACACTTGGGTCATCTTCTGCTGCTTTTCCCAGGCCATTAACAGGGAGCTGGATCAAAAGTGGAGCAGCCAGTACTAGAACCAGTGTGCATATGGGATGCCAGCATTGCAGACGGTGACTTTACCTGCTTTGCCATAACGCCGACCCTGATGTTTTATTTCTTAAATGTAGTGAATCACATCCTGTATGTGAGTAGGTATTTCCTTCATTTTTATGAACAGGAAGCCCACATTCTTAGCATGTAAACAGCTTGCCCTAGTCCTCACAGCTGGGAATGTTGGAGCCAGGGTTTGTGCCCAACCGTGTGTGTTTGCAAGGCTGATGCACAAGCCTGCACTCTGCTCCCTCTTCCTCAGTACTGGGGGCTTTGGAGTGAGAAAAAATGGGGTCAAGAATAGATGGATAATCAGAGGGAGGTGAGAACCAAAGGCAACCTGGCTCTTTTGCCACCCATCCCTTCCCACCCTAGGTTGCGGGAACAGTGCCCTGAGCTACGAACTGTTCCTTGGAGGCTTCCCTGATGTGACCAGCGTGGACTACTCATCAGTTGTGGTGGCTGCCATGCAAGCTCGCTATGCCCACGTGCCCAAACTGCGCTGGGAGACCATGGATGTGCGGGCGCTGCGCTTCCCCAGTGCCTCCTTTGACGTGGTGCTTGAGAAGGGCACGCTGGATGCCCTGCTGGCTGGAGAACGGGATCCCTGGACCATATCCTCTGAAGGTGTCCAAACCGTGGACCAGGTGCTGAGTGAGGTGAGGGAGCAACAAGAGAGGAGGGTAGATGGTCGGGTGGGGATGAGGGGCTGACGCTTCAGGGGGTTGGAAGAACTTAGAAGCCAGAAGATACAGTTTAGATTAAGTGATGGGTCACCCTTTGGAAAAAGAAAGGTTAAGTTGGGTTGACATTAGAGGGAGCTGAAGTGGCCAGCCTCACAAAGGCTGATGTTTGGCTACTGGGTTGCAGAGGGATGAGGTGGCACAGGTTTCAAACAGGAGACACAGACTGGGAGGTGAGCAGCTGGTAGGAAAGCAGTGTCCTCTGCAACTAACATCACTGCCATGCTCCTACCTTTCTAGGATTTAACTTTACTCCTGTTGTGGCAGGAGCAGAGGCAGTGGCTTCCTCTTAGCCGTGGGAAGTCTGAGCTACCAGATGTAGAGTGCCTGAGGTCTGACTGGGAGGGCACCTGGGGAAGTACTGACCTTTGAGAGTCAGGAGATGACTCCTCACTGGTGGCTTCTCTGTCTGCCTTGCAGGTGAGCCGGGTTCTGGTCCCTGGGGGCCGGTTCATCTCCATGACCTCTGCTGCACCCCACTTTCGGACCAAACACTACGCCCAAGCCCGTTATGGCTGGTCCCTGAGGCATGCAACCTACGGCAGCGGTTTCCACTTCCATCTCTATCTCATGCACAAAGGCGGGGAGCTCAGCGTGGCCCAGCTGGCACTGGGGGCCCAGATTCTGTCACCTCCCAGACCCCCTGCCTCACCCTGCTTCCTTCAGGACTCAGATCATGAGGACTTCCTCAGCGCCATTCAGCTGTGAGGCCAGAAGCATAGCCCTGCAGCCTTCCTGCCTTCTGCCCGGACTTCTCGGGGAGCTGGGATTCCTGACTCAGGCTGGGTCCAAGGTGCTCACATCCCAGCAGCCTCATGGCCAAAGCAGAGCTGCTGAGAACAAGCTCACATGAACCAATACAGCTCAGGTCCAACTGGATTCCAGATCCCAGGTTTCTAGCTTCTTTCTTGGGTTCCTTAAACCTCTCCTGGGTTCCCCAACCTCCTCCCCCAGCATACCGAACCACCAGAGATTTCATCCCCATAGGTAAAGCCCAGCATAACCTCTCTGCACACCAGCCGGCTTCAGAGACCCCCATCCAACCTGGACTTATCCATCTGAGGCTGCTGACTTGGAATCCAGATTGCTTTATGCTTCTGACTCCAACCCTAGACCCTACACTGGTGACCTGTCCAGCTTAGGTTGCACATGTACCCAAGGAAGCCACAACATAATGATGTCCCCAGGCCAGGCTGGCCTGCCCATGTTTACTGGGCAACCCTCCCCTGCCAGCAATATGCACCTGAGATTCCCACGGAGCTGCCTCCCTCCCGTTCTGTCCTGGCTCCAGAGCAGACAGAAGCAGCAGGCAACACACACACGCGCGCACACACACACAAGGAGGTCTGTGTTTATTCACACACTCCTGGTACAGTGAAGATGGAGGGACATTTACAAAGGACACCCCTGGGTTGAGAACATCTCCAGGACCACAGGTGTCATCGGAAGGTGCAGAGCAGTCTCCTGGGTTCTCAGGGACAGGACGCAGGGGTCCAAGGTACAATTAGATCTGGGCCCTTAGGTGGTGATACCTTGGTGGGAAGGGTCTGCCCGACAGCCTCCTGGGGTCCAGCCTGGACAGACTGGCCATGTGGTTGGATACCATGTTGGGGCTTCTCCCACCCCAGCCTCAACACCCGTCCTTTCTGCCAGGCGCAGAAGAGCATGGTGGAGACTAGGTTGGGGGGCAAAGGGAGGGGCACGAACCATGAGTGGAACCAGTAAACAAAGAGTCGGATATAAAAATACAAATGTGCTGAGGAAGTCCCTTAGAAAGAGGCTGAGGTTGGGGTCACGCCAGACAGGGGAGGGGTTGGAGTGAGGAGCGACCCGGAGGGCTGGGCTCAGGTGGGTGGGAAGCTCATGCAAATACGCAGCCAAACATCCCCGGCCGCGCGCGGTCCAACACCGGCAGCCCCCGGTCTGCAGACCGGACTGGCCGGAGGGGGGCGGGGCAGGGGAGCCGTGCAGGAGGGGGCAGACCGGGAGCTGGGGCCGTGGGTCTCTGTGTCCGTTCCGGTGTGCGGGGTGGGGCTGCGGCCCGAGGTTCTAAAGTGCATGAGCGCGGCGGCGGGCTCCGGGCCGGTCCGCGCCACCGCCGCCGCCGCCGCCGCCGCCGTGGTGCTGAAGCGGACAGCTCCGGAGTGTCTGGCAGCGGCGGCAGCGACACTGACCCGGCGGCGGCGCGGCCCTGCAGCCCCCGCCCGCGGGCGCCTGGGCCGGGGCGGGGGGCGCCGGCAGCCGCATCGCCGGCCCGCGCTCCTGGCCGCTGCGGGACTGGGCCCGGAGCCCGCCGCCCGAGCCGGCGCGTCTACACTCCGGACGGCGGCTTCTCCCCCATCCCTTTCAGCACGTCGTCTATCCGGTCATCCTCGATCACCACTGCGCAGGGAGAAAGCGCGTCAGCCGCGCGGCCTCGGGGGGCGGCGGCGAGAATGGGCTCTGCGTCCTCGCGCCCCGCGCGCCTGCTTGCCCATGGCCCCGCGACTCCCCTCGGCTCCCCGTGCCACGGTGCCCTCTCCTGCCGACCCGGCCGCGGCCAAGCCTCCTTCCCGCAGACCATCCCCCCCTCTTGCCATGGAGGAACGCCCCTCTTCCAAAGGCTCCAGCTCTCCGTCGCCCCCCCCCACCCGTGCGAACCTCCCGCCGCTGGAGCCTTCCTTCGTCAGAGATGATCAGAAACCTCTAGCTCACGGAAGCCCCCTCTTCAACCCTCAACTCAACAGGACCCCTTCCTCGAATGGGGCTCAAACGGAATACCCAGCTAGTTTAGCCCTCCCCCAAACCAGAACTCTTGCCGCTGGAACCCTTCTTCCGACCCTGGTGGCAACAGAGCCCCTCTCCCCATGCAAACAACCAGGGCAGCCGACCCGCCCCCCCCCCCCAAGCCTAACAGCCCGACGCCCCACTCGGCCCAAAGGTTCTTCCATAGCATCCACCAACTCAGCTTTGATCTCAAAGGCTCGGCCCACCCCGCCTTCCCACTTCCAAGCAGCCCCAAATGCCCCGACCGGCCCCTCCCCCTCGCCCGGGCACCAGGGCTCTCTGCTTCCAGAGGTGGCGAGCATCGAATCCGGGGCACTGTGTTCCCGGGAGAGGGGAAGAGAGGGACACAACACTGCAGCGGGGACACCCCCTCCAGCCCGGGCCGGAGAGCGACTGGCTGCGCTGGTCTGCGGCAAGAGCTGCGGGCGCTTGGCGGGGAACAGGAGTTGGGGGGCGCCCGGCAGAGGGTTTCTGGGTCAGGCGGCGACTCCGGGCCCGGGCCGCGTACCTCGCTTGGCTCGGCCGATCTGGCCCAGCTTGGGGGGTCGCTTGGCCTGGTTGCCCGCGAAGAAGGAGTTGGTGTCCTGTAGGCGGCAGCTGAAGGAGAGATCGGAGCCCTCGGGGTCTGCGCCGAAGCGGCCCATCTTGTCTTCGCTGTAGGGCAGGATCTCGGACATGGCGGGCGCGGGGTGGGCGCGGGGCGGGCGCGGGACTGCGGCGGGGCGCGGGCGGCGGGCTGGCTGCCGGACCGGCCCTAGCTCAGCAGGGGAGCCGGCGGAAGGATGAAGTCATGCAGCATCCGGGGCTGCGGAGCCAAGCGGGGCCTCCTCCCCCGCGCCTCCGCCTCCCGGGCCGCTGGGCAGGCGGCGGCGGTGGCGGGGACCGGGCGGGGGCGGGGGCGGTGCGCGGGGGGCGGGGGCGGTGGCGGCGGCGGCGAGAGCGGAATGACGATGAGCGCCCGACTGCGGCAGAGCACGGCGGGCGGGGCGCGGCGGAGGCGGGGCGGCACTGGCCAGGGGAAGGGGCGGGGCCGGGGCCGGAGCGCGCCCCACTGTCCCGGGAGGGGAGGGCGCGGCGTTGGTAGGGTCCCGCACGGTGGCGGGAACGGCCCACACGTGGGTCTGAGGGAACGGCACCGGCCAACCCGGGCGCGATCCGGCGAGGGAGGCGGGACCGGGGTGGGGGAATGCGGGAGCGATCCTGGTACCTAGGGTCTTAGGGGGAGGGTTTGACAGCGAGTCTAGAAGTGTGCAAACGGGACTGGGAGCTGGGGAGCCGGAGGCCCGCAGCGAGGCTAGCGGAGCAGCAGGGAGGGTTGGGAACCGGATGAAGAACGAAGAAGGCACGAACGCGCGGGACGCGCGCCGAGAGTTCTCGGGCCAGTGGGTGGTGCCCGCGCCATTGGCGCGCTCTGAAGCCCGGTTGCTTTGCGGGTCTCACCAGGGTCTGTGCACGTCTGCCTAGCTGTGTGTCGCTCTGTCTGCGTGTCGGCATCTTATCTCTGCGTTCCTCGTCCCGTTACGGTGTCTGTTTACATCTGTCTCACGTGTCTTTACCCTTCTGTATCTGTCTCCGCGCCAGGCCGCTGTGTCTCGGTGTGGTTGTGTTCCCCGAGTCTCGCGTATTTCAGGCTTTCCTGGTGTGGTAGAGGGGTTTAGAAACGGCCTACGGGCGCTCCCCGAGGCGGACTCCCGGCTGCGAGGCCGGCTGCCGGCGCGGAAATCCGGACTCAAAGCGCCCGCCGAGCGACGCAGCTTCCCCGCCTCGGAGGCCCGCGCTGCGCTCGCCGTGTAGGAGGAATGAATGGCAGCGTCGCGGTGACGCGGGGAAGCCCGGAGCGCCTGAGGACGCGGCGCGCGCTGCTGTGTGTCCCGAGGGAGTGGGGTGGGGGTGACGCAAGGTGCCCCCCGCCCTTATTGCCGGGGACACGGAAGGGTCCCCCCACGCACCGATGGGAACCCGCGCTCTTCTTCCTCCACCCTCTGTGCCCTCACCGCACCCCCGCTCCGGCCGGCCGTCAGCCACAGCGTCACCTGCCCGCTCGCAGGGGCTCTGGCGCAATCCCTGGACGTGGAGGGGCGGGATGTCGCCCGTGTGGCCACAGTGACGACATCCCCGAGAAGGTAATAATCGCCCTGTGGATTCAACCCGCACCGGGCGGAGGCGTTTTCCTCCCTTAGTCCAGCCAAACCGCTCAGCCAGTGGGATGCCGGGGGTCGGGTCTCCTTCTCCCGACAGCACCTCCTCATCTAATGTTCTCTTCGGGAACACGGAGGCAAACGAAGAGCTGCCTGCTCTCCGGGGGAAGAGGGGTCAAGGGGTCGTGTCACAGGGAGCCCGGGTCCCGTGCCTGGATCCGCGGCCCTATCAAGCCGGCTCCTGCTCTGTCCCAGCCAGCAGGAGGAAGGCTGAAGCTGGAGGCCGAGGACCAGGACAGGACAGAGGGAGCTCAGCGGCGGTAGCAGATAGTCCAGAAAATTCCATCCCCACTGGAAGTTATGCAGCAATAAGTTCCATCCTGACCTGGCCTCTTTCTGGAGGATCTTGAACTCAAGGTCCCTCAATCATGGTTTACAAAGAATCAATCTGTTGGTATCTGTAACATTTTAAGAAAATAAGGTAAGGCACACAAAACATTAGATATGTGTTCTTTCAGTCTTCTCCTGTGTATTTGCATAATATGCATGCCTCTCTGAGCCCCATGCTCCAGTCCAGGATATTAAAACCTACTTATTAAGGACCGTTCTGTGGATGAAACGAAATTGTCCCAAGGGGAAGTGTTTGTCTTGGGAGATAATGAGCTAAAGGTACAGCGCCAATGCTAACGGATGGGGGGTGCGGGGGGAGGAAGGGGACACGCCTTGAGTGTGCTCGCAGAGGATGAAAGCTGCATGGGACCTTGAAACAATTGCCATTTCTCTCCCCAGAATCAGGGAGATTGGAGGAGAAATAATTTAATCCACAACTAAATTGGTTAGTTCTTCCTTAAATAATCTTATTCCTGTCCTTGCTGTGCTTGGTGGGTCAAAGCTGAAGCAAAGATGCAAGTGCAACATTGTGAAGATACTGTAATACTGTATATAAGCTCCGACTGTGTTGGGAACCCGTCAGAGGACGCTCTCTGACTCTAATCCTCTACAGAACATGCTGAGCTTCTGCATCCCCGCCCATGAGATGAAATTCACTCTCACAGCCAAAATGAAGTAAAGTGTGCGCGGAGTTGTGTGAAGGCGCATGTTAGAGTTTCTCAAGTGAAAGCCTCTCCTTTGGGCCAGCAGCTAAGATGCCACCATCGCATATGGGAGTACCTGGGCTCCAGTCCCAGGCTGACCCCTGACTGCAGCGTTTCTGCTACCCCAGACCCTGGGGACAGCAGGGATGACTCAAGTAATCGGGTTCCTGCCACCCACAGAAAAGACCTGGATTGAGTTCCCAGCCCCCAGCTTTGACCAGACCTAGCCATGGTCATGGTGGGTATTTGGGGAGTGAACCAGTGGATGGGGCTCTTTTCCTCTCTTGATAGGACCCCCCCACACACACACACCTCTGTCTCATTCTTTCTCTCTGTCTCTCTGCCCCTCAAATAAAGTATTTTTTAAAATACGAAGCTAATAAAGTACAAAATATCTTAAAAGAGTGAGGCAAGGGCTGTGCTGTGGTGTGGTAAGTTAAGCCTCAGCCTGCAGTACTGGCATCCCATATGGGGGCTGGTTCAAGTCCTGGCTGCTCCACTTCCGATCCAGCTCCCTACTAATGCACCTGGAAAAGCAGTGGAAGATGGCCTGAGTGCTTGGGTCCCTGCCACCCACACGGGAGACCTGGAAGAAGCTCCTGGCTTCAGATCGGCCTAGCTCTGGCCATTGCAGCCATTTGGGGAATGAACCAGTGAATGGAAGACCTTTCTCTCTATCTCTCCCTCTCTCTGTCTGTAACTCTGCACTTCAAATAAAATTAAAAAAATAATAATCTTTTAAAAAAATAAAAGAGTGAGGCAGAGCTGTGTGAATAGACATGGTAAGGCCTCCTTGCCCTACCAAAACATCAGCAAATGATAAGTGTAGATTATAATTTCATATAGATGGGAAAAGTACCTATACACACATATATGTGAGTATACATTGTCTATGTATGTATGTAAATGCATATAAATGGCTATGATTGTCTCTAATTATGGTGCTGGGATCCCAGCAGCAGCAGGATGAATTTCACCTATTTAAAAAAAGATTTATTTATTTATTTGAAAGGCTGAGCTATGGAGGCAGAGGCAGAGACAGAGAGGTCTTCCATCTGCTGGCTTACTCCCCAAAGTGGACCTGGGCCAATCAGAAGCCAGGATCCTGGAGCTTCTTCCAGATCTCCCATGCAGGTGCAGGGGCCCAAGAACTTGGGCCACCTTTCACTGCTTTCCCAGGCCATAGCAGAGAACTGGATTGGAAGAGGAGCAGCCAGGACTTGAACCAGCACCCATGTGGGATGCTGACACTGCAGGTGGTGGCTTTACCCACTATGCCATAGCGCTGGCCCCAAATTTCATCTTTTATTCTATATACTTCTAGGGTATCTTATGTTACAATAAAAAAGTTTGAATGATTTACTAAAACAGATTTATGCAGTCCATATACCAAGCATCTCACTGTAGCCCTAGACCAGTTAGTCAACTTTGAAAAGAAAATAGTTTAGTGGTTAAGAATCTGGAGTTAGATTCAAATCCAGGCTCTGCCTTCCCTCTGCTTTGTGGCTTGGGCACATTACCAAATATCCTGTGCTTTAGATTCCCCATCTCTAGAATAAGGACAATGATATTGACAGAATGTAGCTTACTGGAGCCTTGCAAGGATTAAACAAGTTAACATATAAAGAGTGTTTAGGTTAATGTTGGACTACAGAATGCTACCTATTAATATACAGAAAAATACAAAGAAGGAATTAAAAGTAATAGTATAGGCGCTGGCTTTGTGGCATAATAGATTAATCCTCTGACTGTGGTGTTGGCATCCCATATGGGCATCAGTTCAAGTCCCGGCTGCTCCACTTCTTATTCAGCTCTCTGCTAAGGCCTGAGAAAACAGTAGAAGATGGCCCAGGGACTTGGGTCCATGAGTGCACAAGGGAGACCCCAAAGAAGCTCCTGTTTCCTGGCTTCAGATTGGCTCAGCTCCAGCCATTTGGGGAGTGAACCAGAAGATGGAAGACCTTTCTCTCTGTCTCTCCCTGTCACTGTCAGTAACTCTACCTCTCAAATCAAAATAAAATCTTAAAAAAAAAAGTAATAGGGCCGGCGCAGCGGCTCACTAGGCTAATCCTCCGCCTTGTGGCGCTGGCACACCGGGTTCTAGTCCAGGTTGGGGCACCGGATTCTGTCCCGGTTGCCCCTCTTCCAGGCCAGTTCTCTGCTGTGGCCAGGGAGTGCAGTGGAGGATGGCCCAAGTGCTTGGGCCCTGCACCCCATGGGAGACCAGGATAAGTACCTGGCTCCTGCCATTGGATCAGCGCGGTGCGCCGGCCATTGGAGGGTGAACCAACGGCAAAGGAAGACCTTTCTCTCTGTCTCTCTCTCTCTCACTGTCCACTCTGCCTGTCCAAAAAAAAAAAAAAAAAGTAATAGTATAGTGGTGGGCACTTAGCCTCACAGTTAAGACACCCAAGTCCCATATCTGAGTACCTGGGTTGGATTCCCAGCTACAGATTCCAGCTTCCTGCTAATGCAGCCCCTGGAAGGCATCAGTGATGGCTTATGTGGCTTAGTCTTTGCTGCCCACATAGCAAACCTACACTGAGTTCTCAGGTTCCAGGTATGGCCCCACCCAGTCCCAGCTATTGCAGGAATTTGGGGAAGTGAACCAGTGGATAGGAGCTCTGTCTCCCCAAATAAATAAAAAAGAATTTAAGTGATGTTATCACTAGATATGTTCTCCCCTCCCCCCAAAGATCCATTTCTATTTATTTTGAAAGGTATAGTGACATGGGGAGAGGGAAAAACAGATTTTTCCATCCAGTGGTCTACTCCCCAAATGGCTGCAATGGCTGGGGCTGGGCCAGCAGAAGGCAGGAGCCCAGAACTCCATCTGGGTCTTCCATGTGGGAGGCAGGGGGCCTAGCACTTGGGCCATCCTCCACTGCTCTCCCAGGTACATCAACAGGGAGCTGGATCAGTAGCTAAGCTGCCAGGACTCCAAGTGGGGCTTGGACGTGGGGTGCAGCTGCCAAAAGCAACAAGCTCAACCAGTGTGGCACAGTGCTGACCCCTAAGTATATTCTTATTTGCATTCAGTTTCATATCTTTCCAATCATTCTTCAACCTGAGCTTTTATACATTTTCTTCACAAAAATGATTTTTAAATTATTTACTTATTTATGTAAAAGGTAAAGTGACAGAGAGAGAGAGAGAGAGAGAGAGAGAGAGAGGGAAAGAGATATCTTCCATATGCTGGTTCACTCTCCAAATGACTGCAATGGCCAGGCTGGGCCAGGCTGCAGCCAGAAACATTATCCAGGTCTCCCACATTGGTGGCAAGGTCTCAAGTACTTGGATCATCTACCATCACCTTCCCAGGCACATTAGCAGGGAGCTGGATCAGAAGCAGGACAACCAGGACTCCAACCAGCATACCATACTGGATGTGCTGTACTCCAATGCCAATGTTGGTTCCAGATTTTTTTAAAAATGTGTACTCGGGGCTGGCATTATGGTGTGTCAAGTTAAGCTGCAGCCTGTGATGTCAACATCCCATATGGGCACTGGTTTGCATCCCAGCTGCTCCACTTCTGACTGATCTAGCTCCTTGCTAATGCACCTGGGAAAACAATGGAAGATGGCCCTAGTGCTTGGGCCCCTGCACCCGAATGGGAGACCTGGAAGAAGCTCCTGGCTCCTGGCTTCAGCCTGGCCCAGCTCTTAACTCTTACAGCCATTTGGGGAGTGAACAAGTGGATAAAAGATCTTTTTGTCTCTCTGTAGCTCTGACTTTCAGATAGATAAATCTTTATATAAAAAATTTACTTTTGTTTATTTTAAAGGCAGAGAGACAGAGATCTTCAATCTACTGGTTAATTCACAAAATGCCCACAAAAGCCAGAGAAGGGTCAGGCTGACACGGGGAGCCACAGTCACAATCCAGGTCTCTCACCTGGGTGGTGGGAACCCAAGTACTTGAGCCATCAACTGCTGCCTCCCAGGTTGCACGTTTGCAAGCAGCTGGATCAGAAGTGGAGCAACCAGGACTCAAACCAGGCACTCCAACATGAGATGCAGGTGTCCAAGCTGCGACTTAACTGCTGCACAGAACACCTGGCCCCAAGAAATTTTGGTGTGTGTGTTTAAAGGTTTATTTAGGGGCTGCTGTGATACTGGTATCCCAAATGTGTGCCAGCAGCTCCATTTCCCATCTTTGGATTTATTAATTTTATTTATTTATTTTTTGACAGGCAGAGTGGACAGTGAGAGAGAGAGACACAGAGAAAGGTCTTCCTTTTGCCGTTGGTTCACCCTCCAATGGCCGCGGCGGCTGGTGCGCTGCGGCCGGCGCACCGCGCTGATCCGATGGCAGGAGCCAGGAGCCAGGTGCTTTTCCTGGTCTCCCATGGGGTGCAGGGCCCAAGCACCTGGGCCATCCTCCACT